CCTGGAGGCAGCCTATATACGGCGGTCAAAACCAGACCTATGTAAACAGTTGAAGCATGGGGTTAACCTAGCTTTGCCCTGGTAAAATCCGGCTCCCAGATTTACACAGTCCCCTTCCCAACTTTTTTGCTGTCCGCAGTGTTTTAACTTTCGTACTTTATGGATTAGCCTCTTGGTCATTTCCTATGACCTTGCTGTTTGTAGCGATTTTTCTGTATGAATTCAATTTGTATTTTGTCTTACAGTATTCACGTTATGCAATGATAGGTAGCAGCTGATGAGCGCTCCTGCACTTTATGGATTCAATAAATTCTGCTGGTCTTGCAATCTGCAAATTAGCACCTGATAAACTTTGCTTTAAAAGTGCATTTATCGCACCATCAGATTTCTGACGTGCAGTTCGTGCGGTTAGTGTTATGGTTTGTACTTCACGCGAAGCTGATTTCGTGAGCTGCATTTGAGTACTTAATGGCTGCGGTTTCGTCCTTTCATCCTCAATAACTGGCATGATCATTACACGTCCATTTGGTGCACCGTACTGTCATCGTATGAAGCGTATATCCGCCTGCTTCGCGAGAGATCAATTACACTGCTTAGGTCAAGGGACAAGATCATGGCATATGCTAATTAGCTATGACCCTGGAAGATTGCGATTCACACATTTGTCACCCCCCGACAAGGGATTCGGCCTCGTTGGGCCTGATACTGCGACCAGGTTCAGTCGAGTGCACCACAAATGGCAGTTGGTGTCATTCATTTTCATCGCCATTCATTCACTCATTTTGACCATCCGTGTCTTGCCTATTTGTCCAGGTTTATCTAGGTAATTACGTTGACTGTTATACATCATAGTGAATGAATGAGTCTGGCTGACTATTGCAAAGGTAATGGGTCTATCGACAGGCGTTAAGGCTACGAAGGTTAACCCTTACAGCTACAATCTTCCAGGCCCATGGTTCCTCTAGGTGAAGAGAGAAGACGGTGGGAAAGCCAGATTGTTAGGAATAGGAGAATAGGATAGGAGAATAGATGGAATGATTTTTGAATCTCGGATGACTGCAGCCCAGCTGCCGAGGCGTAAATTTCGGAGTGATGACAACGTCGGGAATAGCCGGATGGCCGGCACATGCTTTGTTACAGTAGCCAATCACGCGGCTAAGGTCTAGACTAGAGATCGTGGCGCGACCTTGAGAAGGGCGAAGGCTAGCTAGGCTGGGCGCGCGTCCGTTTGCGCATAGGCCCGAGGCACGCGGGAAAACTGTTTTCGCGCGAGGTCCTATGTTCTGAGTGACCTCGTCTGTGGCGTCAAGAGTTAGGAGGACGTCGGACAGACACGACCACTACAGGTCTTCTAAGTCCATCACTCGGTTCCTCGTGTCCCCAGCCTGTGTGCAATTCGGAATCAGAGTGGCGATAGAAGGCGACTATATTTGGGAATTCAGGAGCACTTTCGTGGCCCTGACTGTCTGATTCTCGGGAATGTAACTTAAAAAATAATACAACATCAAGATATAACACAGTCTCGTTTGACAGGAGACCTATCCATTTAAGTTTCTCCAATAATGTTACTGACCAACGGGCAAAACTAGTTGATTCGGCGGTCAGAAGAGTTAAAACACAACGTAAACACCTTATCAGGCCATACGTTGAAGTTGAATGCATACGATGAACGGGATGGCGATACCCTTTGGTGCACCTTGATTACGTTATAGTATCAGACAAGGGCTGTTCCCTAAGCACGGCTCAATTGGCTGACAAGACGGTTTTTGCCCGGATCTTCCCCACCTAAAGGCAATTCAGGGTGGCAAAACTGTTCGTGTGGTCTCTTCAAATTCCGGAAGACCAGTTGAATCGTCATTCGATGACAGTTGCATCCGGAATGCAGCCTGGCGTAAAGACTAACTTTCGGTAGAGGCGGTTCCCGGATGTCCATAGTTCCAACCTCCGGCGTTGTGGAACTCTTTTTCGGTTTCCCCTTGGCAACTTACACAACTAACCGGAAGGCACAACAGTCTTTTCGCCCCCAAACCCCACCAAGTTTTGGCTTGTCGGGCAGCACCTTACCAAGACTCGATTAAAAACCCAGGGTGGCGTCTTTTCTCCTGGCATTGAAATTTAACGGGTTCATCCGCCTCTTTAGCACACCAGCTCGAAGCCGCGAGGATTGGTTTGCCTCAGAATTGCTGTCTGATATCATGTTTGGCGGGTACTTAGTGGTTATTTCCTCCGTTAGATAAGAGTCAGGTTACTTGGTGGAGGCATTTTGACACAGTTACAGGTAGATGGCGTTGTCGTCAATGACAAGGCAGACTGGGAGGACCATTTCTGGCTCATTAGCCGTCATCAGCCGGCTATCCCCAACTCTAAAGTGGTGCACCACCCGAGACTCAGACCTTAGCTTTGCCGACAGTGCTACCGGTGTAAGCCACCTGCTGTTGACTGCGGCTGCTGATGGGACTCGAGAATGAGCCCCAAGGCAGAGAGGGACGTTCGTTAGCGATCAGTGAACGTTCATCAACGACGTTTACAGGTGCTTTTCACTGAGGCCTAGCACATTGGCACGCCAGGTTTACTGTTTAATATGCGCAAATATTCGAGGTCCACGTATAATATTGCATTCATCATCCCCGGAAGAGGAAGAAGGGGCAATTCCTGCGACCGGTTGTATTTAGGCTGACGTTTCGAAAACATTCTTGCTTTCATCGTCAGAGCGAAGTGTCTATTCTCCTGCTGGCGTCGAGTGAGTCTGCCTTACCGCTAGCCACGTGTTATAGCTGTGTCTGATGCACGCGCGTCCATCGTTTGTACCGATCTATTGCTGGTGGCCGTTTAAATTGTTCTCGCCCTCGCCTCCTGAGCGTTTCCACCTTCTTCGTTCGCGGTTGCCTGCTGTCGGCTCTGCGTATCTTCCATCGCCCGACTTATTGCTCCGTTCTGAGCGGATATTAGCCTTTTGCGAAGCGCATGGTAGGCGGGATGAAGGTCTATGGCTCTGTTAAGTGTACCAGTCGAGGGCCAACTTTCTAGCAGCAATCTGACCATCTTGTCATTGGCTCTACCCACTACTCTTGTTTTTTTCAAAGGCGAACGTCTGATTCTTCTACTCTACGTGGTCATAGACCATAGACAGATTATCCTTGCGGCGACTACGAGCTGATGCTCATGCAGTCATGTGCCAATTCGTTTGTCCGTTTCACCAACATACCTTGCATCGCAGTTTTGGCATGGTATGCTGTAGACCACTGCTGGTTGTTCTGTCACTTGTAGCGGGTCTTTGCTGTTGTCTAATGGTTGACTCTAGCCTATGAGCCCCACCGATTCCGAGTGGTTTCAGGATTCTTGCAGTCGCCTCTGATACGATCTTCACATAGGGAATGGCGAGCCAGGACTTAGGGTTTTCTTTCAGCTGCTTAAGGCGAGCCTTCTTGAAGCACTTGCGTATGAAGGACTTCCGATAACCGTTGGGTTTAAATAGGGTATGCGAGTATTTAGTCTTCTTCTTCTTCTTCTTCTTCTTCTTCTTCTTCTTCTTCTTCTTCTTCTCACTGTCGTCACTGCAGAGTGTCTGAACGCGTTGACAGAGGGTCCTAACACAACTGCGTTTTTGACTAACGGGGGTGTTTGCGTCTGAAGTTAAAGTTTAGGGGATGAACAACCCATCCGCGGACAGAGTCACTTTTCGCTGATTAGTGCTTGCGCCTGTAGACCGTCCTGGTCAAGATACTCCAATCAGCATACGTTATCAGCCCTCTGTAACCTTAACATAGTCAGTTCTGCCAGCCTTGTTCTTGGGGCCAGTTACCTGAGTATACATTGCTCTAGGAGGAAAAGTATTGACAGTCGTTGATTACAATTCACTGATCGATAACGGAACTCATTCGTCCCTACCTGCCTTTGGGCAGCCGCACAGCGGCAAAGAGTCTAGTCGCACAGCACTGCCGACAAAGACAGGGGAGATTGGAATGACCATTTCTGACATATAAGCCGTTGTCAGCCAGTCATACTCAACACCCGAGACCCGAACTTGCGACCTTTTTGATCAGAGCCTTACGCTCTAACAACTGAGCCATGGGCTCGTTGTCTTGCCGCTTTATATCGGTAGATACTGGCAATCGTTGATG